CATTTGTATCAGATCAACAAAACATGGGCATAGTAACAATATTTTTTTACTACATTTATCCATTTTAAATACACTAACCTCACTCCTTTGTAACAACTAAGGCAAAAATGTAATTAATTCAGAAAATCTTTTCAGGACCCCACTTTGATGTTTCGGGATCCCACTTTGGGTCCCGACCCCAACTTTGGGAAACACTGCTCTAGAACAACAATTTATATAGATACACCTTATACTGTTTCGTATTTCTTTAACAATCCAACTTTTATCATTTTCTTAAATGTACATAATGACCTGCGTTATTTACATCACTCCCCAAATTATTCCATAGTTTTATTCCTTAAATTAAAGTACACCCTAGTAGTAGTAGTAGTAGTAGTAGTAGTAAATATTTATTCATTTTTCATTTAAAAAACAAAACAAATACTATACAAAACAAATAATACAAATCAAATAAAATGAAAGGCAGCAGAAAGAAGAAAAAGTCTTATTGATATCTGCCCCCCACAAAAAAATAAATAAATAAAATACAAATAAAGTCAAACAACAATAATCTTCAAATAACAAAACATTACAAAAAACTTCAACTCCTTCCCTAATAACAGCTCTTATAAACACACATCATACAAATTCATATTTCTTTAACAAACTAACTTTTATCATTTAAACAAATTTATTGAGCCAACATTTTTATAATGACTTTCCAGATTATTCCACAGTCTTATTCTTTGGACTGAAATACATCGATCCTTCAAGTTTTAGTCTTTACAAACATCTCTAGCCCCTTAAGATTATAATTACTTTCTCTCTTAACAAAATTTAATTGGATATTTAAAGGTAATACATTTTTATCAGCCTTATACCTGCAAAAATATTATGATCAACCATTTCAGAAAATTTCAATAATTTCACCTGATAAAATAATATATTTGATGGGTGACTGTAATGTTTTCTGGTGATAATTCTTACGCCTCTTTTCTGTAAAATAAAGATGGGATTTGTAATTGTTTTACACAGTTTCCCCCAGACTTCAACACAGTAAATCAAGTGTGGAACAATCGTTACATTATATAACATAAACAAAACTTTGTCATTAAATACAGTAAGTCCCTTACTTTATACAATACTGCAATGGATTTGGCCATTTTTGTTCTTATAGTGTATCAGCACCCAGTTCCAAAACCTTCCTCTCTGATGGTATGGATGTGCATTAAGCCTCTAAAATGGGCTTTTGCTTAATTAATCGACATAAATCTATTTTTGCCGGGTGCTGACGAGTAAAAACTTGACGTTTAAAGTAATAGATTTTCTGTTTTGTCTGTTTAAATTAGAGCTGGAGAGGAAACTGAGAGCAAACGACCGCGAGTACAACCGCTCCTTCAAATACGCAGTGAGTACTGAGCTGTCCTACACTCAGAGCTTTTATTGTCTTAGTCTGGATTTTCTAAATAGAAGAGGGGATGTACAGAAGATTCAGCCAAAATAGACATTTAAGCCCACTGGTTTTTGTTTTTTGTTTGGTTTGCGCACATAAAAAAATAAAAAAAAGTCCCCTGAGGGTGTTTCTGGAGTGGTTTGAGTCTGGTTCTTATCAGGAAACTGGATGTGAGCCAGTTAAAAAACTGTGTTCCTGCTCTGTGTTGCTGCTGTTAGAGAAAAAACTTCAGCTGTAGTTTAGTTATTTATAAAAAAAATGTCTGTCTAAAATGGTGGTTAATACAGAGAGTAATGCTCAGAAATATCAAAAATAATAAAGACATAATGTGCTTTTTAAAATTAATTGTGGAAAAAATGTGGGGAAAAGTTTATAATGTAACTTTCCTGTTTCCAAATGGGTTTTTGCTTTTGTCAAACAGCTCCAAGTCTGAGTAAACACTCACTTTCCTGCGTGTGTGTTTAAAGGTTCGCAGACAGAGCGGTAATGTTCAGTGTGGGGGCGGGGTTAGTAAAATAAAAATCCAGATAAAGAGACAGGACGCCACAGTCCTGCAGAACCTTCCACCTCCTGACAAGATCCACCTGCTGCAAAAGAGCTTTAATTCCTTTTGAAGTATTTTTATCATGTTTGTACAAAAGATAAATAAAGAGTTATTAAAATGAATAGAAAGTCTGCACTCAAAGCATTTCATATTTCTGCCACGCTCTCTCCTCTGATCCGTTTTCCAGAAAAATGCCATCAAGACCTCCAAGTACAACGTCTTCACCTTCCTTCCTCTCAACCTGTTTGAACAGTTTCAGAGGATCGCCAACGCCTACTTTCTTGTTCTGCTGGTGCTTCAGGTGAGATGCAACCAGAAGCTCTCCTGCAAAAGAGATCTTGATCTCAGTGGGGTTTTAATCTGGTTAAATAAAGGAAATGGAAAGAAATGAAAAGCACACACGACTCATCCATCTGACAGGAAAAAAGCCCAGAGATCAACAGAAGTGAAGGTTTTTATTCAGAGCCGTTTGAGTCACAGTTGCCTCTTTTACCTAAAAAATGTGAGGAAAGAGATGTAATGCACAACTATATTATTTATTAGAAGAAATATCTGTATGTGACATTAATCCAATATAGAGAAGCCAAATTTAATAACCTGTCAAAAACTGTAAACAGCCACAACTTGATAGTTCTGGCTTTTCTAATAATTCAGCTTAAGAAAAATAAACAAAAACACTGCCGTCAACCCATAGATAAGGGCAAACACAGCTGCTAATTCGGGTGGTAACAAAAGCTGTCTGCTTCACAGTAACAAGTTTTGTGTTTAATATTTATTCTTGATGTCATGTTGGACAGTAAATTCTGTCTTAAGTTGCTTATAGGTTTTGTATGTCAACCATTTTTGTTGCGAAAGTTTTCTTTTCAAAAAAGTTTGTGTCTAATTAAGTAGGTGAGCAGCCTAAACATGCTAGTCGCTAGCCTCTCCAGCGCTAACGCCAGATTATCCATGCTAGTCGCTAGCCTCTCCAACGCTAACGCCAGATTATCCATGCTAGTCGCTAGCCTCTCCAATGCTAACGCCAGATTATCCATGTTAGTCGCTAGCCTCTCCAATGCTAACACCAGTTTATCCATGCTAGTCTCTAGATTCACTGCTAACACAGATTATCCATGCTAGTCGCTAGCCTCTCCAATGCTAATGCTAGATTATCCACGCTAGTCGCTAGCCTCGCCAATGCTAACACCAGTTTATCCATGCTAGTCTCTAGCCTCTCCAATGCTAATGCCAGATTATCCATGCTAGTCGCTAGCCTCTCCAATGCTAACACCAGTTTATCAATGCTAGTCGCTAGCCTCTCCAATGCTAATGCTAGATTCTCCAATGCTAACACCAGCTTATCCATGCTAGTCTCTAGATTCAATGCTAATGCCAGATTATCCATGCTAGTCGCTAGC